GACGCGTTTCAAAATGGAAAATAATGTGTTTTTTTAACCTTAAACCGCATAAACACATTTCATTACACCAAATACACAAAATAATGTTCTTTTTAGCAACATCATATGACCCCTTTAAGACAAATGATTGGATGGCATTTACTCTACCTCCAAAGGTTGTCATGTGAGGTCTATGTGAACAACTTTTGTGAGATGTTTTGAAAATTTATTTATTATTGAAATGATCTAATTTGGCCGTTTTTCTTCTTCTCCCTCCTCCCTAATCAGAAAACCTGTGAGGTAATAGGAGTGCAGGACCTATAATTGTTAAAAAATTCTATTCTTGCAGTCTAAATCCAGTCAGCCAAGGTTTCTGAGTGAATATGAATCTTCACTTATTTCTCACTGGACAGAATATTTTATCAGAGCACATTTGGATCTCCCGTTCGCTGTATATTTTAAAACTATCTTTTATGCCACTTTGCCCATATACTTTAATTTACTTTTGTCTTCTTTGAAGCTGCACACTGTTTCAGTGACTTAATAAGGATTCTGTATAACCTGTGCTCTGAAAAACACACTTAACTGGCACAAAACAGGTCTCACTCTAACCGTCATCGTAGCACACGGTGCTGTGACATTGCTCAGTAATTAAGACACTCTGTCATGTAGAGACAAACTCCCATCCTGTATTCATCATGGCATAGCAGAGATGAACCCAAACACAAGAGTTCAGCTGCCAAGCTTTGGGATCTTCATTTATCTGCAGGTTTAATTGTCTGGATGCACTTCCTCCAGTCATTAACCACAAAAGCTCAAACTTGGGTGTAAGGGGTTGACTAGAGTCTTCCCCTCCACCGCTGGAGCTTTAATTAAAAGAGTGGAATGGGCTGGACTGGGTGCAAGGAAGTAGTAATTGGCCCTGGAGGCATTGTGTGCTGTGATAGAGACAGTGTAATCACACTCTTGTACAGTGCTTCCTATTACACTGATTCAGAAACCCTTGGCTCTGTTACAAACATCTAGATGGCTGCGGTCCATCAATTGGATGATAAAAGGGCAAATAGTAGATTAACAAAAGATTGATATATTCATTTAAATCAAGTCACGAAGTGGTATATGCAAAATGTCATAGGCCATACAAGACCTACGTGTGTGTTTTTATTGAAGGATGAAAAACTTCCATCTTCCATCAGACAGAGATTTTGTTCAGAAAGTTTAGTAAAGGATGTGTTTAGTAAAGTACATCTAAAGATATTGTATAGGTTTTATCTTTCTGTATGTAATTATATCTTTGGGCATTTTGGCTTTATATGTCAGTTTGAGGAGAGACAGAGAATGCTACAGGAGAAGGGATGCAAAGAGCCGCTTTTAAATATGTTTATTAATTGACTTACCTGTTTTTTATGGATTTTACACTCATTTTAGTCATAAAAAAGTATAGCCTTTGATGCTGACGTGATATCAAACAAATAATAAAATAAAAAATATAGCTGCAAGCAGCGATGGCGGGCCCAAGCCGTCAGTGCAAACGCCATCCCGGAGGCATCAGGAGAACGGTGCACAGCGGGCACATGCATTTACAGTAACCGTCTGAGGATGCGATAGAAGAGGAGAGAAATGAAGCGCAGTTGTGCAATATGTAGGTGCACTACCCTGAAGGCTATGGCTCCGACACAAAACAGATTTTTAATAAAAACAGACAGCGTAAGCAGGGCTTCTATATTCCACAGGAGTGAGATATTTTGTCTTCATAGAAAATACAAGAGTTTAGACTCTGGAATTCTCCCTAATTAGCCTTTTGTGATGTTCGTGTTTATTTAGCTGCGCACACAGTTCTGAAGGCCGAACGTAGCACCAAAATACATACAGAATTTTTCTTGTCAGCCTTAATAATTTTTAAATCAGGCCTGCAGCTGAAGGGATTTCACTTGTTTTGTAATAAAGCTTGCCACACTTATGAAAGAACTTCAAGTAGCAGCATTAGGTATTTTCACAGGATTGTGCATGGCGCTGCCCTGCGCTGAGATCTTTCTCAACCATCTGATCAAATCAGGCCATTACATTTTACTGTTTATCAAAGTACAGTACACAATCGCACGCTCACAGCTCAGTCCTGATGCCTTAAGGTGCAAGTTTGTTGTGAAGAGGAGCATCGGTTGTCTCCCCAAACACACCCCTTTGATTAGCCTGTTTGTGCAATGCTGAGCGCTTTTAATGGGGGTTGTGTTGCAGGTCGGCCGTTTGGTGTACTTTCCATTGAATCTCTGCCCACACACACCGTCCACTGCCCCAACGGGGCCCTCATCCGCTCTTCCTTCATCTCTTCTCCGATTAGACTCATCCTTATGGAAGCTTTTCTTTAGATACTTTAAACACAGAGAAATAGGAATAAGACTGTGTTTTACAGCCTTGCCCGTGGCACCAAATGATCTCTGACTCTTTAATCACCGCTAAATGCTGTCAGAGGGCCACGCAGTGAGAGACTGTCTGCGGCGAGTCTGAAACTAAACGCAGAAGAGACGGGCCGAGATAATGGGCTTTAGGAGGAAATGTGCTGAGGCGTCTCGCTGTGGGGGGAAAAGAGTCTTTGAGTCTTCAATGGCAACATTTTGTGCTGCTTCTGAGCACCAGAGAAAAAGACTTGTGCAAATTAAGCTCTGTCTAGATTTCCACTTTATTTGTCCTCCTCCGCAATGATTCAGAATGGCTGCAGATGAAGAGGCCGGCGGACTTGGATTTGCCGTGTTGAATGGGAGGGAAACTGTTTGCGTCCCAGTTTGAAAGTGAAGCGCTCACTTTGTGGCTGATGGGGAGTTGACGAGGTCCGGGGGCCGATGAGTGAGGCAAATGGTGGATGTGTTGTGTTTTTCTGCTCTTTTTCTCTCATCAGCGTGGGAGAGCTAAGAGAAGCGTGATGAGTGCTGATTGACTACGAGCGGAGCAGACGATGAGCGGCTCATCCGTCTTCACTGACCTCCCGCAGGTTTCCTGCCTTTAATGTGCCCTGGTCATTTGTGTGGTGTGAGAGCTCAACCGACAGGAGAACTCATCCGTAGCAGATTTACTTAAATCAATAACGTGCCTCCTGCCCTCTTTGAGCTACTTAATGCGGCCTACGTCGCACCTCCTGGGAAAGACTCGCCACAGCGCCAGTTCCAGGACCCCCCTCTGTGCCAAGCTGTCTTCTCGAAGTGCTGATCATCCACCTCGTGTTTGTCTGGCATAGACGACGGACGCTAGTGTCTCGCAGCACACAGTCTTCATTAGGGCTTCATCCACTTTCAAAATAGCCTTCTGAGCTTAGTCAAGCATCTGGCACTTCAGTGGTTAAATATGGACTAGTTTCTGAGGTTGTTTAAATCAGTGTTTCCCAACCTTTTTTTAGTCGCGGCACCCTTTGGAAATCATATGGTACTGTATATTGTATATTGCTTTGGATGAAACCATCATCTAAATGACAGATACTATTCATAAATGTTGAATCTGTAAGAATTTGAAATTATGTTTTTGAAAAAAAAAAGTCGCTATGCTCACTTATTTCATTAAAAATACAGACAAATTTAATATTTATTTACATTAAATAGTTGTTTTCTATTTTAATATGTTTTAAAATGTAATTCATTATTGTGATGGCAGAGCTGAATTTTCAGCAGCCATTATTCCATGCTTAGTCACATGATCCTTCAGAAATCATTCTAATATGCTGATTTGGTGCTAAAAAAAAATTGAATATGATACTGTTGTTTTCAGGATTCTTTGATTAATAGAAAGTTTGAAAGAACAGCATTTATTTGAAATAGAAATATGTGACCCTGGACCACAAAACCAGTCATAAGGGTAAATTTTTTTAAAGGGTCAATCATCTGAAAGCTGAATAAATATGCTTTCCATTGATGTACTATTTGTTAGGATAGGACAATATTTGGCTAAACTACAACTATTTGAAAATCTGGAATCTGGGTGCAAAAAAAATCCAAATATTGAGAAAATCGCCTTTAAAGTTGTCCAAATGAAGTTCTTAGCAATGCATATTACTAATCAAAAATTAAGTTTTGATATATTTACGTAGGAAATTTACAAAATATCTTCATGAAACATGATCTTTATACTTAATATCCTAAAGAGTTTTGGCATAAAAGAAAAATCGATAATTTTGACCCATACAATGTATTGTTGGCTATTGCTACAAATATACCCGTGCTACTTAAGACTGGTTTTGTGGTCCAGGGTCACATATTTTGTAACATTTTAAATGTCTTAACTGTCACTCTTGATCAATTTATTGCATCCTTGCTGAATAAAAAAATTAATTTCTTTCAAAAAAAGGTCTTATTGACCTCAAACATTTGAACAGTTGTGATGATGCAGAAATATCCACTAAGTTAGCATGAGTTAATAGTTAACACTGATTTTTAAAGTATGTGGTGATGAGGGAAACCAAAAGTGCTCTTAGAGTCAAATAAAATATCTCCAGATACATGCAGTAAAATTTATGCAAGGGTGTAAACAAATGTAAAAGAAAAAAAAATCGAAAATTTATGTCTTTGGTGGTTATGGCCCAGTTTATGCTAGCTAATACTGTGTAAACACAAGAATGACTTTGTCAGTCTTTTATAGCATCTCTGGGCCACTTTAGGTGCGTTTGCAAGATTAGCTTCTTGCAGTTTCACCCATTTTATTGATAGCATTGGCTTTCAGCATGGTATTAGCTCGTTGATAATTTAAAAAGAATATATTAGGGGATGTAAATAATCTATGCTTTAGCTAATCCCCACTCACAGTGGGATTCACTTGTATTGACAAAACACTGTACAAACTTGCATATGTTCTGTAATAAAATCCTATGACTTCACAAATCTTGTGTCTTGGAAATTCCAGGATTACAGGTCACCGTTTGGAATGTAATACAACCGAGTCGTGCTGATAAGCAAAAGTTTCCATCCTCAGCTCTGACTGGAGTGTGGCGGCATTTTAGTTGGCTGGTGTAAAAAAGTGTTCTTTCTTCTTCTCTGTTTCAGGTTGTGAAAGTGGCCACTGGGGGCCCCACTGCAGCAACCGCTGTCAGTGCAAGAATGGGGCCCTGTGTAACCCCATCACAGGAGCCTGTGTCTGCACAGACGGCTACCAAGGATGGCGCTGTGAAGATCAATGTGAGCCTGGATACTATGGCAAGGGCTGCCAGCTACAGTGTCAATGCCTCAATGGTGCCACCTCACGGGGTCAAGGCTCACTCTACGAGAAGTGTGGCGGCCTCTAAGGCCTTCCTGGCAGGTATCTCAATGCAGGACATCTGCGACGCTGCAGGGTGGTCCACGCCCCTAACCTTCGTCAGGTTCTATGGCCTAGACATGCGAGCCACTCCTGGCTCCTCTTGCTTCATTCCTAGAAGCTGATGCTGGTCTCACCGCACGTGCTTTTATAGTTTCCTGGTCACTACGTCACCCGCCTGTGACGTCTCGCCCATCTATTGGTCTGATTACACACGAAGTTCAGAGCCGGTCACGCTCGGTCACAGAAATAAATTACATTTTAAAATAGAAAAATCAATTGTTTCGGGCCTGGAGATTTTTAACCTAAAACCTTCTGGGTATTTCCCCATGTGACAACTAGCCCCAGTCTCCCATACTAATCTACATACTATATACTTACCCTTTGTCTATATTAGGGATGCACCGATACCACTTTTTCCAGTACTCGCCCGCTATATTCATTGTTAGCATAGTGAAAACACTGTGAAGTTCTTGTCAGGTTACTTAAAAAAAAAAATTTTTTTTTTGAAGCATTTGTTCTAAAGTCTTTGAACGTTTTTGTGTTTTATGTTGCAATCTTTTGCAATGACTGCCTGAGTTTCAAGTGTTTGCTCTTGTGGTTCGGCAGCTGTGGAGAGCGATGTCCCTCTGGAAGTCATGGGCCACAGTGCGAGCAGCGCTGCCCCTGTCAGAACGGAGGAACCTGCCATCACATCACTGGAGAATGCTCCTGCCCTGCTGGATGGATGGTAAGAAGCTGCACACAGTGGGACCGAAAGGGTGGAGAAGTGGGTGACAAAGGGAAAGTGACTGAGAGAATAAAAGACAGAAAAGAAACAGAGAGGAATAAAGATGAGGAGACAGATGATAAGGAATGAGGGGCAGAAAGTGAAGGAGAGTAAAAGGGCAAGATACTGAAGCAACGGAGGAGGTGAGTCATGCTTAAAAGGAAGTAAAGAAGGAAAAGAGAGGGTAATTAGAAGGAGAAAGGGAGGGTTAAGTGAACGGAGGGAAGGTGAAAGAGTTTAAGAGGTAAATGAAGGAAGGGTGGAGGAGAATCTGAATGTAGATACATGCACAAACCTAAGTGGGGAAGAAATGACACTGATCTGAGTCTCGCAGAGCAGCTGAAGTTATTATTTGGAAGAAAATTGTGTGAAGTTTGCTGAGCCTCATTATTGCTCCTTTTGCATCATCTCAAACTCGTAAAGAGGACATATCTAAAACACAAGTTTCCTTTCTCTTCTGAAAAGAGTCCAATGTGATACAGTATGTAGACATACTCTAATATTCACAAAGCAATGCTCTATCTTCAGTTCATCGTTTATTAAAACGAAACTGCAAAAATGGGTCATTTAGTAATTGTAATAGTATTGGCCTCATAACTGTGTATGTTCATTATCATATGAGCTGTTTACATATAAATTCAATGATTCAATTCCTATTCAATGATTAAGGAACCTTGCTTAAAGGTCTTAAAGGTACAGTAGCAAAGACTGGATCAGATAGTGATCGTGTACTATCATCAGCTTTGCATAAGTGGCTACAGATATATAAAATATGGCCTTTTTAGAGGGCCAAATTATGTGTTTCTGCATAATTCTTTAATTCTATAGATTAAATACACTGATTCTATATACTGTATGTTCATCTAAAATCCTTTATTCCCTCTGTTGTTTCAAACCTTTATGAGAAATGCTATTCTAAATGTTCACACCAAGGATGGTAAATATAACTATAATGTTTTAATAATTGTTCTAATTCCATGATAATATGAAGTCCACACCACAGCTACAACAATAATGACACAGAGGAACAATATTGTTGGAATCACTTTAAGAAGATTTTTTCCATTGACAGCGAATCAGAAGCTACCCTTCTTTAAAAAGTTGGATCATTTAAAGTTAGTAGTTAAAAAGTATTATAAAGTATAGTTATTGCTATACAGTAGTTATCTTTCGTGGTGTGAAAGGACCTTTAAAGAGTTTCTCCTATTGAAAGAAAGTAAGTCATATGGGTTTGAAATGGGGAGTAGATGATGACTGAATTTATTTGAGTGAATTGTTCCTATATAAATCAGTGCAGCTTTAATGGTCGTGATTGACTTTCATTTGATTCCCAAATTTTCTCTGCCCTCTTTCTGGACAGGGGTCTGTGTGTGCCCAGCCATGCCCATTCGGCAAATACGGGATCAACTGCAGCAAGGAATGCTCGTGCCGCAATGGAGGACTGTGTGACCACATTACAGGACAGTGCCAGTGTATTGCAGGATACAGTGGCCACAGGTAAAATAAATACCCAGTGTCTTTAAAAAAAAAACTACCACAAAAGCAGTTTGTTAGCAAGCCTGCAAAATTTGGTTGCTGAATAATTGATTAATTGTTTTTTTTACTGCCCTGTGTTTACATTCCCTGTGTCGACTGATCCCACTCCGAGATCCGCACTGGTCTGTTAAGTTTCTGCCCATTAATTACCAGTAATGGAGTTTTATTAGGATCCAATTGAAATTGCTCAGTGCCTTTATTTCTCCATGTCTTCTGCAGCAGCTTAGGGTTTATTAGCGCAGTAAAGTGATTGTCTGCAGAATGAAAACACTTTCAGGACAGACACTTCTTATCCTCTTATATTTAACAAAATTGCCCTCATTCATTTGGTCTGTGACAGGTGAATTAGTCCAGCAGGAATAACTCAGATTGCGTTAGTACCCCCTCCTCCCTTCCCGTAAGTCCTTCTCACACCCGTCTCTCCTGATACAAACGACGCTGGTGTAATTTCAACATGAAACATACCCAGTCCATTTTATAATTTAATTGAGCTATTTATCTGTCTCCTAATGGCTTCTTTGGACACTCAAGATTGATGTTCTGCCAGGATTGTATATTGAAGATCTTGTGGAAGTCGTTGTTCCTTAAGTCACTTTGCTATTCAACAGTGAGAATGAGCCGGGGTCTAATTGTATTCACAGTAATTAATGACTGCAGTCCCAGGTGAAGCCAAGGGCTAATGAACCTGAAGTACCAAAGAAGATGCCCAAAGCTTTGATCCTTGACCCTTAGATTAGAATGATTCTGTAGTCTACTAATTCTGCTTGTGTTATTCTGACGGGCTCCTTTTTCTTACAGAGCCGCTCTGAGTAACGAATAATGCATACAAAACATTGTTTTGGGGTTTTCTTCCCTCACTGTTCCCAGGTGCCAGGAAGAGTGTCCGGTCGGCAAATACGGACCCCAGTGTGCCCTTCACTGTGATTGTCAGAATGGGGCCAAGTGTTACCACATCAACGGAGCGTGTTTGTGTGATACAGGATTCAAAGGGCCTCACTGCCAGGACAGGTTCTGTCCACCAGGCCTCTACGGTCTCATCTGTGACAAATACTGCCCCTGTAACGCCACCAACACACTCAGGTGAGACACGCTACCACACGTCAGTAGACCACACTAGAATGATAACCTTGGAATTGATGAGAATCAATGGACTAGGAATGCATATCAGTACCATAATGGTTATCATCTGATATTACAGTTTTTTTATTATTTATTGATATTGGCCAATATTGATTTTTTTATTTTGTATGCTCATATGCCCTATTTTACAGTTAGATTACCTTTGTTATCATTTAATGCTCACTTAAAATTAATGATCTAGTTTTTAATACTATTAAATGTAATCTTTAGCCAATCTTAAAACAAATATCTATGTTGTATTCTAAAATATTGTGATGCCTAAATTCATTTGTAGCATTTAAAACATTTTTAGTTTTTAGTGCTGTATTTATTTATTTATTTATTGTTAATTTAGACAAAATAGTAAAGAATTTTAATATTGTTCATAACATGAAATTTCAGTAAGAATCTTGCAGTAATTTAATTACTCTAATATTCGCCGATACCGATATATATGCGACAGGCTCATATCGGCCGATAATATTGGCAAAATGATATATCGGTCGGCTCTACATACGATGTTGTAATTACGACTTGCCAAAAATAAAATCTATAGATATAAAATACTTAAAGCATATCACAATGTTAGTTTAAACATTTAACCTAGATAAATGTGCACTATCAGGCGCATATCCAATCGTTTGTGAGGAGAGTGGAGAGAATTATTTCCCTGCAAAGAAAAGAAATTCTACATTTGTCTAAAATTTGTAAACCGGTATATTTCTGGATGCATTGTATCAAGGACTGTCAATTGCGTAAAAAATATTTGAATTAATTACATTATGTCCTTGTTAATCAAATTAATTTCATATGTATATATATATAAATATTTGCCAAAAAAAGTCTGCAGACAAAAAGATCAAGAAATAGACAGTACAAAAATTACTGATTACTTAAATACAAACAATACATCTTTGTGGAGTCCACTCCTTCAGTCCTACAATCATTACTTTTTTAGCCAACTTTTCTCGAGTTAACCTCTGGAGCCATGGGTGAGTAGAGAGCTCCTTTTGACTTCATTTGACTTGCAAGTCAAAAAAAAAATTCGAACACCTTTCAACAGTAGCATAGCACTTGCTCTTTATCACGACCTGTGCTTCATTCATTATTTCTTAGCCGCGTTCCTGGCTAATGCAATGTTAATGCCTGGTATGGGTAGATTAGGCCCTGAGACACTGGGGCTCATTACTACATGAAGGAGAGAAAGGACACCCCATTTATCTGAGTGGAGCTCACAGACACCAGGATAGATTAACTCAAATAGTTTTAGTCCTCAGATTTGGCTCCCTTGTTCTGGAAACCAAAGTGTTTCTGTTTAGATGCCATATACACAACGTATCTTTAGGCATATTTGTACCTAAATGTCGATCTGTCTTTCTCTTTTTCAGCTGCCACCCCCTGACAGGTGAATGCTTGTGTACAGCCGGATGGACGGGTCTATACTGCAATGAGACCTGTCCCCCGGGTTACTATGGAGAAGGATGTAGAGTGCCGTGCCAGTGTGCTAATGGAGCAGACTGCCACAGTCTGACTGGGGCCTGTATCTGTGCCCCAGGCTACACAGTGAGTCCATGTTTATCATTTATCATTGTCTGCATTCATTAAATACTAGTAAATCCTGCCATGCTGAAATATTGTCACATGAAATTGACTGCTGAGCATTGATGATTATAGTTGCTAATGTTCTGAACTAAAGGATGGTCTTTTTTCATATGCCCCCTGACATATAGGCCCCCTATACACCTGCCATTAACATCACTCAAACCTCTCATTTGTAGCGTAAACACAGATACGTCCTAGACAACCGTTATAGACCACCTACCAACCTGTCTATGAAGCACTGCATCAAGATTTTAATTGTCGACTACATATGTGACCCTGGACCACAAAACCAGTCTTAAGTAGCACGGGTATATTTGTAGCAATAGCCAACAATACATTGTATGGGTCAAAATTATCAATTTTTCTTTTATGCCAAAAATCATTAGGATATTAAGTAAAGATCATGTTCCATGAAGATATTTTGTAAATTTCCTACCGTAAATATGTCAAAACTTAATTTTTGATTAGTAATATACATTGCTAAGAACTTCATTTGGACAACTTTAAAGGTGATTTTCTCAATATTTTGATTTTTTTGCTCCCTCAGATTCCAGATTTTCTTTTTTTTTATTAGTTTAATTTAAAGAATAGCAATGAATATAAACATTTTTAACAGGAAGGGATAAGAGAAATCATACATTTAACATATACGTATCAAATATATGCTACAGCGTGCACAGTTGTATACTTACACATACATATCAACACATATACACAAATATACATACATCCACATACATATGTACCATCCCCCCAGTTAAAGAGAAGAGAAAAAAAGAGAGAGAAAAAAGAACAACAAGGCCAGTTAGGCAAGGTTAACTATTGCTATAGCAATTACTGTTTACTTAGCTGAGGATGTTTTTGTTCTCTATATATCAATCACTTTTCCCAGTCCCATTTTAAAAGCATTTTTTTTTTCATCTTTAAAGTATATGTAAGTTCTTCCATTAACAGGATTTCCTCAATTATCCCAAACCATTGTTTACAATTCAGAGTAATATCTTTAAGCCAATTCCTAGTTATAGTCTTTTTACAAGCCACAAGAAGAATCTTACATAAATATTGGTCGCTTTTAGATACTATGCCTTTAATATTTCCCGTAAATAAAAACCAAGAGGTTCTAGGTATTTTGTATCCAAACACTTCAGATATGACTACCTGCACATCATTCCAAAATGATTGGATTTTCTCACAACTCCAAAAGATATGTGTGTGATCCGCTTCTAACTGTCCACACTGTCTCCGGCAAGCCTGCTGCCTGGACACTTGTTTGCTTTTGATCTTAGGTGTTATGAAGAAGCGAATAAGGCACTTCCATGAAAACTCCCTACATATTTGTGAACTGGTAGTAGTTTGGTGTATTATCCACATATCATACCAATCTGTTTCTGGTATTTCAGTCTTTAATTCTTTATCCCAGATTCCAGATTTTCAGATAGTTGTATCTCGGCCAAATATTGTCCTATCCTCTTATTTAAAATCTGAATCTTATTTATTCAGCTTTCAGATGATGTATAATTTCAAAAAATTGCCCCTAATGACTGGTTTTGTGGTCCAGGGTCACATATGGATTTACAATATCTGTTGGATTTGAATGTTTTTGTACCAATATATTTTTATCAGTGCAACTGCTTAATCAAATTAATTAAATTATATACTGATTAATTAATTGAATTTAATTAATCACATATATAAGTACCTGCTCAGAAAAGTGGTTTGTGGTTAAATTAAAATTATGAATTTAAAAATTATGGTTTATTATAATTTTATATTTATATTTTTTATTTTTATTTGCTGTTATTTATTATTCTATTTAATTTTATCTTTTTTTCTTTTTCTTTTTTTCTTTCTGTTTTATTGTGGCAGATTGTGGCAAAATTAAATCATAAAATAGACATTATAATAAGTTAATTTCCTTGTAAAAGAGTAATTACATTTATTTACTAGCTTATTTAAAATTAAAAATTTAAATAAATAAAAAATATTTTATACTAAGTATAGCGGCCAGTTGACGAATTACAGTTTAAGTCACTTCCTTGTTGGCTTCACGAGAGAGAGCGGGAGGTTGCCGCTCAATTTAAACTTTATTTTGAGTTCTACTTGTGAACAATGCACATTTCTTAATATTAAGCCTAAAATGTGTTTTAATGTCGCTATTGAAGACAAAAAAATATAACACACAAATAGACCCTTTACAGTTCTGAACGATGTATTATTCTTACTAGGGATGTAACGATTCACTCAACTCACGATTCGATTCGATTCACGATTTTGATTTCACGATTCGATTCGATTCACAATTTTTTTTTTTTTTTTTACAAAATGAGATTTAAGACAAATTATAAATTAAA